AGCGGAGGGGCGGCGGCTCGTCCACCTTGCCCCGACGTTCGTTATCGTCCCAGCTGCATATCGGTCTTATTTCTTCTCGAACCCAATGAATTGTGTTGAGTATACATTGCTCAAAGTAAAATCAGAAGAAACAGATGAGAGTTTAGTGTACGTTAATAGTAAATTTTTAGCAAAACTTGTCTTTCTTATTGGTTTATTATTTCCCATAACCGCCGTCCGCCGTACATGGTAAGTCGGTCTTTCTGTGTTTAGCTTGCTTTCTGTTCGCAGACGTCTTCTTGTTGTCATCTCGGCAAATAGATCGTTGCCCTTTGATACGCTCTGCGTCGTAGTACGGCGGTAGTGAGGACGACGGCAGCGGTGCGATTCATACAGACAGATATAGAAGTCCCCCAAGTAGCATGTTCATTGTTCTTGTACACCGGATTAACAAAGTTACTAAAGTCGTGCCTTGCCAGGGGTGCTGGTGCTGGGGTGCTAAAGAAATTTTCAGTTCAATGCGTCTACAAAAGCTCTAAAAATATTTAAAGGTGCCAAAAGTTTGTGCCTATAGCAGTTTTGTAAAGGTACCTTTCGTGCCTTTAAAAGGGAAAGCCAATGTTCGTACCATCTGCATATTATCTACCTGGGTCAATAATCGACTACTACTACTACTACAGTCAATAATCGGTTAGATTAGCTCATATAGCAATGCCAGAAACTTATTAGGTTAATTGTTCAAATACCAGCGAATATATATTAGCTGGCATAGCGAATCTTTTTTTTTCCGTTTCGGCACGAAATTGCTTCCTTTCTAGATAAAAAATATTCGATCACGTGACAGCGATGACTTATTTTCACCGTCGCACGTCCCATATCTAGCAAAATGTCAAAACTTTCAATTATTTAGCAGGGAAATGCGGAGATAAGATCCCCACCCCTTCGTTTTTTGTGGTACTGGTCCAAAAAATACCAGTCCCGAGGCCGGTCTAAATGCGAATGCGATCGTCGACCTTACAAGGCTGGCTGAAGCACGCGATCAGCAGGGCGAGACGTGGCGGGGCGTGGCGCGGCGGGTGGTGTGGTTGGGGCGTGGCAACTCGATGTGAACTAGATATCAGTTAATGTGACGAGTTCGCGTGTTTCATACAATATTTATAATTCAACACTTACAGATACACAGCTTTATCAAAATCACATTTTGTACAGGTATTAGAAATTATATCGGATACATGTTCTTAGAGACTTAAATAAATAAACGTACACACTACACATAGAAAACAGTACAGCTATCATCATTTCACACTGGATGCAGCTGACCTGCCGTAGCCTTCCTTTGTGGCCCAAACATGAGACTGGCCGACTGTCTTTTAGGACAGATCCTCATATAATACTTATTTGATGCGCATGTTCACCTGAAGTAGGTCAGGAACAATATACTCAAATGTCATCTAGACATCTTCGCCGCCTCTCGATTTCCGAACCGAACCCTCTAAATTAACACAAGGGAAAGCAAGAATAACGGATGTAATTCGGATACAGCGACAAAACGATTAATCTAGACTTGGTTTCTGAAAACATTTGAGAAATCTGGTTTAGTACCCTCATGAAGAAGTAACACAGTCGGAAGACGACAAAATTTAAACACCCATAGACTAAACGTTCCTAATACAATGATTTTTTTTCAAGTTATGGAATCACAACAAAAGTGTTTTAATCCTGTTGTTGGTATAGTTTCGCTTGGCCCAATTATGCGCGGGGTGGTGCACGGTGTGTCGAGAGCACGCAGCTAACCCCCCCCCCCCCTCCCAGGCATGTAGACACGCACTCGAGCAGCTTCTAGTTCAGCTCGCAGCTGCGCACCTGGGAGCGGATGCAGGGAAGCAGCTGGCAGCTGCGCACCTGGGAGCGGATGCAGGGAAGCAGCTGGCAGCTGCGCACCTCCGAGAGTGCACCGCACGCGCACGCTTTGTCCCCCGCACCGGCTCTTGCTCCACTTCACCCGCAGCTGCGCACCTGGGAACGTTTTCCGCCCCTTCCTCTTCTCAGCGGGGACAGGGGAGCAGCTGGCAGCTGCGCACCTCGGAGCGCGGGCCGCACGGTCTGCCCCCAGCACCCGGCTCCCGCTCCACCCGCCGGCTGCGGATCTTCTGCGCGTTGATACCGCACGTCGTAGTGCACTGCGACCACTCGGACCACTCGGAAAGCACACAGTCGTTCTCTGGAAGCACGATAGAATGCGACTCAGATATAGACACGACAAATGCAGGTACATTTTTTGGCCCGCGCAATTTTAGCGGTGTCACACATCACGGGAATAAATCGTTCTCTGCTATATTTTCTGATAGCGGGATAGACGACCGAATTAGTTATGAAACAACCGAGCGAGCTTCTCTAACGTATAATTTACTGTGGTAGTTTGGTGTGATTTTTAAGAGATTAAGGCTACCCCTATCCCAGTTAAGGCACTTTAGTTGCCCCAAGAAGTGTGTCAATTAGCTGCACTTATGCACTTAAAATAATTACGATATCTTACCTCTTTGTTGGTAATGGCCCCAGAGGTCTTCTTCTTCGTCGTCCTCTTCCAGTTCCCTCACCAGGGATTCAACTAGAACAGAAACACACTCCATCATGGCCATGCTCTTTGAATCATATATGCAACGGAATATTAGTACACCAAAGCCCGTTGTGACGAAATATCGCACGGTTATAGTGACAAGTTTACCCCTAAAGAATGTATTAACACGTGCACGATGTGGGCGTCTGACTTTGTGACTCGATCTTGGGGGACGGCGACGGCATATCGTTAAGGTGTTCGAGCATGCGACACACACATGTCGTTAGTTTTCCAGTACCGTCCGCCCTTCCCCCGCCCCTCATTGTGAGGAGGGGCGCCATGGCCCGCCGTGGCCCTGTGCACACAGGTCGGCGAGCCGGGCTGCAGACGCGGCACCGTTTCACTCCCCCCCCC